GTGTGTGTTGTGTGTGTGTGTGTGTGTTGTTGTGTGTGGTGTGTGTGTGTGTGTTGTGTGTTGTGTGTGTGTTGTTGTGTGTGGTATGTGTGTGTGTGTGTTGTGTGTGTGTGTGTGTGTGTGTTGTTGTGGTTGTGGTTGTGGTTGTGGTTGTGGTTGTGGTTGTGGTTGTGGTTGTGGTTGTGGTTGTGGTTGTGGTTGTGGTTGTGGTTGTGGTTGTGGTTGTGGTTGTGGTTGTGGTTGTGGTGTGCTGTTGTTGCTGCTGATTGCTGCGCTGCTGCTGTGCTGCTGCTGAGTGGTTGTTGTTGTGTTGTTGTTGTGTGTTGGTGTTGTGTTGTTGTTGTTGTTGTTGTTGTTGTTGTTGTTTGTTGTTGTTGTTGTGTGTGTTGTTGTGTGTGTTGTTGTGTGTTTGTTGTTGTTGTTGTTGTTGTTGTTGTTGTTTGTTGTTGTTTGTTGTGTTGTTGTTGTGTGTTGTTGTTGTTGTTGTTGTGGTTGTTGTTGTTGTTGTGTGTTGTTGTTGTTGTTGTTGTTGTTGTTGTTGTTGTTGTTGTTGTTGTTGTTGTTGTTGTTGTTGTTGTTGTTGTTGTTGTTGTTGTTGTTGTTGTTGTTGTTGTTGTGTGTGTGTGTGTGTGTGTGTGTGTGTGTGTGTGTTGTGTGTGTGTTGTTGTGGTTGTTGTTGTTGTTGTTGTTGTTGTTGTTGTTGTTGTTGTTGTTGTTGTTGTTGTTGTTGTTGTTGTGTGTGTGTTGTGTGTGTGTGTTGTTGTGTGTTTGTTGTGTGTGTGTGTGTTGTTGTGTGTGTCGCGTTGGGTGGGCGGGAGGAGTAGGAGGAAGCCTGCCATGGCGGGAGCGGTGCAGCGCAAAAATAAAAACCCCACAGTGATGTGGGGAATGAACACTATACCGATTAGAACCAGGCTCTGGCGGAACATGTCTCCGGCCTGTGGCATCGTCCACTTGCCCAGAAAGCTCACGAGCTTCCGCCTTTAGGCTGTTGAGCGTCGCTTCTGTGCTGCGAGCTTCTGCAGCTGCATGCTCGTGGTGGAGCTTCCTGAGCTCCTCGTACTTCTCGCTGATGAACTGGAGCTTCCGCTTGGCTTTCTCTTCCGACACAACATCGGCTTCGGGCGAATTCTCTGTGGCAATTTCGCCGCAACCCGAGCCCTGGTTTCGTATGCAGGGCGCCCCATCAAGGCTCGATCGGTTCGGAGCCCGTCCAGCAGTTGCGCAAGGCCGTTGCGGAGATGATGAGCCGAGGCTTCCAAAGCTTGCCGGACCCGCCGCCCAGTTGCAGCTCATGGGAAGTCCGAGATTCTACAGTCTGCCGAAACGCAACTACCACTACGAATACCAGGGTGGAGATTGCATGCAGTACCCAATGTTTGCGTGGAGTCTCCTCTTCCAGATGATGGGAGGTGAAATTTTAGCAGTGTGCTACCTCTGTGACCGTGACCATCATGTGCAAGCATGCCGGTGCAACAGGCGCGTGCACATATATATTACCAATCACCAGCTAGCCAGCTGGCATGGCAGTCCGGGCATCTTCGCAGCTTTTCTGATGTGCAGGCGCAGCTCGTCATTGGCCGCTTTGCACGGGTCCACGAACCTTCGGGCAGAAAAGATCGCAACAAGTGATTTATTTTTTTGGCGACTCAGACATGCATGCCAATCCCTGCCAAGCATGTAACGAGAGGATCCGGGCACAGAGATGGGTTAGCAAGAAGCTTTGGCCTGAACGCCTATGGGATATCGGCCTCCCTGCTGCTAACATTGCTAACTTGCGTATGCAGTGCTGCAACGCTGCACTACGGCTACGGCTCTCATAGACCAGTCGGAATCAATAGATGGCATCAATCAAGAGAGTCCAACCTCTTTTGCGGGTATCTTCCAGTCCTTGACACGCCCAGCTGGGTCCGCATGAGCCTGGCGATGCAGCACGGCTTGACTACTTTGCCACGGCGTGCATAACAAATGCAAGGTTGCTATGACGCAACACTTTCGTCTTTGCAGCAGCCATGAACCTGTTCCCTTCATCTCATTCTTGAAACATGTTCTTGTCGCAACTAGCCCTGCACTTGCATTGCAGGCGCGTATGTACTCAGCATCCTATGCCACAAGACGCTCATGATCTTGACAAAGGAGCGGAGGGCACTGCTTCACCACTTTGAGGTCGAGACTGATGCGGGGGCTGGGCCAAGCAATGAGCAATCCTCGAGGACTTCACGAAGCCTCACACAACTGGCAGTATCTGCATCGTTAGCTGGCAGAGGTAGCTGCCATCACTCCGGGTATCTGGCTTTCTACCAGATGCACCGGCAAACTGAGTCTCCTCTGACAGTCGATACTGCTTGCACTCGAAAAATTGGAGACAAAGCCAAGGCAATGATGCTTCGATCTTTTCTGCCTCGCTGCGTTCACTTACAGACCCTTACTGAGCCCTTGCTGCAGCGCATATGTCTTCACACATGAACTCTGCAAGCAAGTGACGCAAGGTTTGTCGTTTCGACATGGAGTGAGAACCGATGGAAGCAAAGCTTGGCAGGTTCACTGTCCCAGCGCATACCGGGCCATGTGAACGACGACAGCCATGTTCATGCCTCAGCCGTCTGGCAGAATGAAGTTCGAATCAGACAAGCCGCAAAGGCAAACAAATCCAGTAGGCTACCTGACACAAGCTGCAGAGCTTGCTGCTTCCGATCGGATCTGCCGGTACCGAAGTTGGCCCAAGTTCCCATCACACGCACTACCAGTAGATTGTAGATGAGGCCACCGGTCCAGACCACAAGGGCTCAACGCAATCTCTGCATTCAGTGTGCAATGCTGTGGGAGACCAGAATGCAGAAGTACACAAAACATTCAAAGGCCAAATCTGCACAGCTCAGCGGACACGAAGGGAAGGCTTCCCCGACACCACGAACCTTGTCAGTGACCGACCGAGACACACACACAATCACACACCGAGTACGGATCGATGAATTGGCAAAGGGACTGGAACACATCGGCCCCTAACTGAATCCGAGATCCAGCGCGCGCGTCAGTGTATGAGGTTTTCATTTCTCATCGGGCCAAACAACTGCTGTTGTCATCATAGTATATCGCCATGGGTACGTTTAGTGTTTGGTGATGGTTCAGTGATTGCACACAGCCAAGGCGTGAGCACCATTCGGGAATGCAATGAGAAATAAGCCTGTGGAGCCGTGCTGGACAACGCCAAAACTATGTACTTGGACTGGGGCGCACGCCGTTTAGAATGAAGTAGCATGGAACCGTGTACTTGATGAGGCCAGCCCCCTCCAATGACTTCCCAACTGAAGCTCGGTAGGTGCTGCAGTAGAGCCTGCGCAACGTGAAGTAGATCAGGGATAGAATGCCCCCAACTTTGCCATTCACCTTGGCTCCCCAGCATCCCCTGCGAAGAAGGGAACCCTTTTTCCGTTTGCTTCGAAATACTCAGGAACCCCCACCAAAAAAGGGCAAAGGGTGCAGCTGAAGTTACCCAGTCACGAGGAAGCCGAACATCAGCGCACCAGCAAAGAATGGCGTCACCTGTTCAACCTGTGGGCGTTGTTTTTGGTTGATTTCCAGGACAGTGGAAACTCTCTGCTACTGCCGACTGCCAATCCTGGTTCATCTGAGCCCGGTCTGCCAGCTTCACCTCCTCTGGATCCGTAGTGGGGCGGTCTTTCATGGACATCTTGTGCATGTCGTGTTTCTGCTTGGCAACACCGACGCCCATGACGTCATAGACCTGACCAAGAGCTGCGCGTAAAGACAACAAGAGTCTGCTACATGTTTCGCGCAGGAGGGTTTTTTTCTGTGCATCTCCGGGGCACGGAGTATGTGGCCGACCACAGGCCGAGCACCAGAAATATTGACCACATCTCAGCAAGAACATCTTCTGGCAGTTGACCCGGCGTGCGTCCGAAGAAGGACAAGATCGCTCCCACTCCGGTATACCTTCAGCTCCAAATCATGGCTTGGGAGCTCGGATGCCGAAACCTTCTACCTTTCTCAAGAGAGATCAGCCAGCAGCCCTCCTTATTTCGTGTGTGTCACGGAAAAAAGCTGCTTGACCAGGCTATAGATGCGCTCCCAACAATGCGTTGGCTGGAGGTGGTGCGCCCATGGCTGCAAAGGTGTCAAAGTAAATCGCAGCGTGCTTGAGCTGTACAGACTGCAGGGACGCCCACAGATATGATTCTTCGGTCTGGCGACCTTCATATCTGGATTCATGGAGCTGCGGGCGCAAGCGTCCTCCACACCTTTCCAGAAGAAGATGTAGCACGGCACGCGCCTTTGTGGACTGCCACCCTAGCCCTATGCTCTCGAGGAAGGAGCCAAGAAGAGAACCAAGTGCCGAGCGTGGCTGCCCAGCGCCGGGCAACTCCAGGAAGTTGGTTGACGTCCGCGCCTCAGTCGGTCGAAGAGAAGAGAAAATATCTCCAACACACATCTGGGCCAGGACATCAAGCCCGCCACGCAAGAACACCCACGTCGGGTAGGCCTTCGCCAGGACCTTCAATCATAGTGGCATAGTGAGGTAAACCGAGATGCGCTTCTCTGCTCAAATCTCCGGAAAGCTTCTTTCGCCTCAAACTCGGCACGCATTGCCGCACTGGCAGCCGACCAAGCCGCCCCGAGCTCCAGCACGACCCATCTGAGGAAGCTGCAGCCACGAGAAGCTACTTGGGGCGTTTCGCATCTGTGCGCCTTCTGCCAAGTGCTGAGAGCAGCAGGTCCAGTTCCTGCAAGCGCTCAGGCCACGGCCATGCACAATACGGGTTTCTTCCTGGAGCTCCGCTGAGCGGAGCGTGCCGACTGCCTCCTCTGCTTGCAACTGCAGGACCAGACCCGGATACGGAATCGACGAAAGTCTCGCTGCAGTGGATGCATCCTGGCACTCTCACGTGACCAGAACCAAGCCGAACTTTTGGCACATGGTCCAAGTCAGGCGTCCAGCGGGCGAATCTCTGAACCGGCGTAGGCTTCGTCTGCTGACACTTCCGCGCATAATTTCCTTAAGTCTGGTCGACTCACTGACAACAGCGTGAAGTCGGCCGATGAGTTCCAAAGAATGTGGCAGCGCACTCGTCTGCAAAGGTCTCAGGCAATTGAAGAAAGGATCGAATCCACAACAGTCTCGAAATCCTCGGCATGGGCTACTGTCCGTCGCACTTCCGGCTGGGCTTCACCAGATCCCTAATTATTGATGTTCCCAGTGTCTGCTGCGGACGTCTGCGGCGACTGTGCGTCAGCGCCCGCAGGGAATTTGAACATCGGCAAACGTCGTCGAACACACTCTCATGTCATGACGAATTAGCCGCATTTCCAGCACCAGTAGCTTTGAAGAGCTTGCCATGTTGTCTTGAGATGCTAAACAGTCATGCGCTCCACGTGATGCGGCGCATGCGGCAACTGGTACACCTGGTCCACTGGAAGTCAATTGCAAGAGCACTAGCACCTCATGAAGTTCTGCTGGCCCAAGCATCCTGAAGGTACTTTACTACCTTGCTGTCATGTGCTGGACTTGAGCCAATGCTCGCAAGCTAACTCAGTTTACGCCGAATATTTAGGCGGCTGGGGCATCCAAGGTTCGTTCACTGTCCCTGAAAGGCCACGAAAAATTCGCATCGTAAGCACACTCGCATCGGGCACGCTTTGCTCGAGTTCCACTCGTTCGCCATGAAATACCTGCAAGGCCAAGGCATGGATTACCAGCCTTAACGAAGTCTTCTGACAGCTGCCGTGACCGGCTTTGCTGAGACTCAACCGCTGGAGCTCTGCCTGTGCTCTTCGACCAGCCCCTGCCGGTTGTCCTCGAAGATGGTTTGAAGCTTCAGATGGCGCGTGCCTTGGTCGTGCGGACTGCGAGCTCGGTCAAAAGTCGCTTCGTCACCGAGCGCCTTCGTCCGCTCCAGCAGCTAGGAAGGCCTGGCTGTAGTATGAATCGCGAAGCAATCCCAGCGCACATCGCAAGACAGCAAGCCGTGCCTTGCAAACGAAGTGAGACATCTTGAACTGAAAGCAAACAAGAGGCACCTGCATCAGTTGTACGGAGGCTGCATCCGCTGTAGGGATCCCGCGCTCTGCCTCGCCTCCTCAGATTGATTCAGCTGGAAGGGGCCCTCGATGCTTGAAGTGCTTACCCTCTCGGATGCCTGCGAGGGGAGCTGTGAAATGTGATTGCGAAGATGCTTTCTGCTTGTACCTCGCATGCTGGCCAGCACTTTCCCGTCCAGTAGCAAGCAGCGGAACGGATGTGGCTCGTTACTTGCTGAGAACGAGGCATCCTGAAACACCGCGGAACGTAAAACCATTAGCGCAGCCGGCACAGGGTCGATCGCATTTGCATGGATTTAAGTTCAACCAACATCAATCGACTCTGTCTGCTTGCGCACAGCGTGTCCATCAACACCACATTAGTAGATTGCGAAAGTTGTTTTGAAGCGTTGCCAGGACACCCTGTTAGGCAAGCAGCCAAGCACTGTCGAAGCTGAAGCTGTACATGCTCTGCCAGGTCCCCCGGGCAGCGCTGGCTCTAAAGCTCACTAAGCCATGCTCAGACTTGGAAGTCGCGGCAGACTTGCCCGAGCGAGTCTACCTAGAGACGAGCTTGGTGCGTTCCGGTTGGGACGACATTTTCGGGGTAGAGCTTGGCCGGATAAGATTCCATTAAAGCTATGTTCTAGATTTGAGCTTGGCAATCAATGAACCAGCCGACGTATCATGTACCATAAATAGGTACGTATAATGCTTGCCCGACAGCAAACAACCCGTCTTGTACGTTTGGCGTTTTCATGTTTTAGGTTTCAGATTTGTTGCCCGTTTAGATGTCGCAAGACCTGTTGAGGTCTGGCACGGGTGCTTCCAGGCGACCGGAGTACATAAACACGCAAAACGTGAAAACGCCTTGCAAACGTTGTCTGGCAATATGTCAAATAACCATGGTATTTCTACTACAATCTGTTCTGTGGAAGAGATGCGACATGGGGATTTGTAAGATATGATACTTCATCGGGCCCATCAACCACCCCCATATACCTGCTGAATCCTCGGTAGTGCCTCCTTCTGGAGCCCTGCAAGCTCGACCTGGCAGCTCCTTTCTGGCGTGCAAGCACCGACTCTGTCATTTCCAAGCTCTGCTTCGCGAAGATGCAATACGAACTACATGCTGCAGGCACAGGGTCCTGAGCTGCTCCTCGGTGGTGTGATCGGCCTCCGGCAATGCCCCAGCCCATGCTATTTGTGCAACAGGGGCAGCGCAGGCGGGCTCGTTCTTCACCCTCCCTCCTCATGCGAGTGCCTTCGTCCTACCTGGCTTTCCATCCTTCTTTCGGGGAGCTGTGCGTGGTCTGTGCCTCTCACCTCGTGCCAAACACTTGTTTTTTTGTGGATTGGCCTTGACACCCGGCGCCCACCCTCACGAAGCCAGCTGGCGACTTGGGCATCAGACCCGCAAGGGTCACGGTTTTCGGGTCTTGCTCTGTCTCCGGCTCGCTGCCTGTTGCTGCTCTATGCCCGTTCTGTCTTTTGCTCGTGCCCGCCCCCGGCCGGCAGCCCCGTGCCCTGCTCTGAATCCGGGCCTCAGCACTTGGCGAAGTCGGTCGATGCTGCTGCTTCTGCCTGCTGCAGGGGTCGTTGGCTTGACATTTCTACAGCCACGGGCCTGGACTGAAGGCGTTGGACACTGCTGGCCTCAACTCTTGAGTCAGCATCGCAACTTGCGATTGGGAAACCGGTCGGACCTGTCAGTGGAACTGCGGCTAGCCACCCACATCAGAACTTCATCGTTTTCTGAGACCCGGACTACAATGTTCATGCCGGGAGCTGCCTGGCGCAAGAGCGAAAAGCAATGTGGGCAGCCTTTGCTGGACCTTCAGGCAGAAACTTCTGTGATTAGTCAAGACTGTCCTGTCATTGCGAGCTCCTATCGGACTGTACATGGAAGGGCTCAGTGCTCAGTCATGATGCCCCATGATGCAGAGTCCCTCGGCAACGGTCTTGAAGCCTTCCATGGTCTCGGTTTGCTGCTAGCCAGCAAACCCTGCTGTTGTCTCAGAGTTTGCACTGCCCAGCGGAACCCGGCTGATTCGAGCGTCAGCCGACGACCGCGGTGTGATGTCTTTCGGCTCCAAGTTGTGGGCAAAAGAAACTGATGGATGCAAACGTAAGCCGTTGTGCCAGTTCCGCCCTCCATGTAGAGAGAGGTTGCAATTCTGTGTGAAGCGGTCGCGTTGCTTACAGCTTGAAGCACTCAGGCTTTGCAACTTAAGAAATGCCGCTGGCATGAGTATGAACGGAGACCCAATGCAAGTGTGTGTTTGTACACGCCTGGACATGGCGACTGTCCAAGAGGGGGGGGGGGTGCAAGCAGCTCGTTCAGTCTTGCGCCAACGAAGACACTGAACAAGAGCTAGTGAAATCCAACGGGACGCCGTTGGACGTACCTGCAAGAAGACCGCCCTAAATGTCCCAAAACAAGCTGTTGGTTCTATAGTTGGCCTGAAGTGATACTACATGGTTGCTGCAATCTGTCCAAGTCTCGTCTTGTCCTGTCTGTCTTCTACTGCATCAGCTCGTGCCAAGCCAAAGTGTGTTGTGTGGGTCCGCATGCACGGGCGCGTGCGCGTGGTGTGTGTGTGCACCTCTGTTGTTGCGGCATGAGTCTGGGTAAGTCCCTACTGGCAAGACTTAGTTTCCGCCTTGGCCACCGCAACTGCTGCTGCTTTTGCCATGGCCTGAGCCTCCACGCGATGCAGAAACGCTGGATGAATCCATTCCCTGACTCCAGAACTGCATGGCCTCTTGTGCCATGAAACGCGGAGTGCTGGGCATGGAGGCGCCGGGGCATTGTGACAGTGTGGAGACCTGAAGTGCAGCGCATTCGATGCGTTAGGTGCGTCCGGGAACTTCATGGAACCTTCAGGACTTGCAAGGTGCATATCTCGAGTTTCTGGGAACGGTGCTGCGAATGGTGCCGGCGGAGTAGATGGGCGGCGCAAGGACACCTTGCTCTCAGCATCGGCATGAGGCTTTGTTCCGCTGCTTCTGTAAAGGCCCGAGCATTTTCTGCCGATTGGCTTCTAGGCCCGTGCAAGCCGGGGCTAGGAGATCGAGAACGCCTCAGAAAGAAGCTGATGGAGTATGGCAATCCACGATGGCATTCTCGTTAATTGCCATGCCCGTTAATTGCGAGATAACCCACAGGCGATAACGCATGCCACAGGACACCAGGACGATGCCACGGGATGCCTACCGCGTCTGGCTCTGACTTGGGTGCTGGCCCCTCCCACTGCGCCGTGGAAGCTGCGATGGGTATGGTTGGCGTTTGCACCTACGGAATACGTTCATGCATGCAGCCACATAAGAAAAGCACGACGTGTAAGGCCTGTGGAACTTGCCACAGCACTGGAGGTGACGACGAAATAGTTGCCACGTTTGGCGCCACTGCTGGGCTTTGTAGCTGCGACGCATGCGATTGCGTGGGCAGGACCTGGTGTTGGGCTGGGTGAAGGTGTCCTGTGTATCGATTCTGAAAGGCGTGCTGTGGCTGCAGCGGCACCTGCGAAGGCTGGTGCATTACTGCTGCGAAAGAATCTGCGTCTCCAGCGGATGCCGAGGCCGGTGCTGCCTGGCACGGACCACCTACCAGTTCCAGACTGATTGTGGTTTTGGAAGAGCTCACCAAAGCCCCTCAGCCGATGCGCCCTTTTTCTACAATCGTGGGTCTCAGCGGGGTCTTCAACAATTGCTGAAGCCCTCAAGCACGAAGTCATCCAGCACATTGGGAGGCAATCTCCTGTCCCCTTTCGTGGTGACGGTATGCGATGGTTAAAGGAAATTGTGGGCTTCTGTCACTGAGCTCCCATTTTCCAGGAGCAACTCTACATGAAGAACTCCTTGTGAATTCCTCCCAAACAACCTCGGAGAAGGACCTCCCCGGACACACCGCAGAGAGGTCTCAAGAAGCGGTCTTTTTGCACTTGGACAGTGGAACATTGGACCTCGGCGCTGCGAGAACTGCATGGACACGAGCGGAACAGGTCTTGCCTCTCGGGTCTCGCTCATCGCCAAGAGACATGGTCTCGATTCGGTTCTCCGTGGGATCGAAATATTTGATCTCGCACTTCCCGTTCTCCTCCTGCAAGAAGTTGAGCTTCCGAAAGCGTGCGGTCTGCCATTTTTCCTACACTTCTGACTTGTATCATGGCATCGTCAGGGCAAAACCCAGGGTCCAGCCTTCAGAATCGTGGCCAAGACGGCGCCATGGATGGAGTCGATGCCCTTTCTTTCTAGCTGTACATGGAAACAACCTCATCCCCAAGGATATCTTACTGCATGTCCTAGGTTGGCAGCTTTCAACGGTGTCTTGGCCCAACCTCCACCAGCACCACGTCGCCGGCGCCTAGAAGCTCGTCCTTGATGGACTCTACCTGGCCACCTTCGACTTCTTGGTCCTCGCAGAAACTTGCTTGGATGCTCCACAATTGCTCTGGTCGACCAGCCTTGGACATGAGGTTCTCATCCTCGGCCCGGACACGCGGGGGCTTGAGTCGCTGAAATTCTCACAGATGACAACATCAAGTCTTAGCCTCTGACAAGACCCTTGTCGTGATGTGCGAAACCGCCAAGGTAGCGATTCAGAAATGGCCCTGCAGTTAGGGTATGTCAGGCTCCAAGCATGTTGATTCTATGTACATGCATGCACAAGCTTGGTCTGGAAAGACGATGCGCATATCCCCGAGCACCGCGCGCAATGCTACAATCGGGCCAGACAGAAATGTCTTCCTGCAGCTACAACAGGCACATGTTGAGCAGCAAGCAATTGCAAGCCTGTGCGACGCATTCGCAGAGCGAAACCATGCTGCTTCACATGCTGCCATGCAAGGACTGCACTGCAAGTACAGCAATGAAACAGCTTCCAAGATGCTGAAGCTCAAAAATTTTCTCCGGAATCCCTTGCCCGAGCAGAAACGTGCACACCTTGCAGGGTGAGCGAGTGCAGCCACATTTGCTGAAAGCGGCCAAGGAAGATCTCAGAGAAGAGAAGCTGGGTGGAAGGGATGGAGGCACGTCAGAAGATTCTTTGCCCTCTTACTCGTGCACCTCGTTGCTGAAGTGGTTACAACTGTGCGACAGCAGGTCGTACGTGTGCAGTCCAGTGTATCGCTCCTTGTATGGAGGCAATGGACGACTGCGTCTCTTGCATGTTAGGAACAGCTGTGCAGCACCGCTTCCTGGACTCCAGATTTCAGCCACTGGAGGAACTCCTCTCACAGGGCTTGAGAACTCCGCAGGCCTTGCCGCTTCTTACCTTTGCCCGTCCTGGTGCGTGACGAAAGTATATCCAAGCCGGATCACCGGCAGCTCAGGGACAGCCTCGGACCTCGTTGCTGCTCCAGCAGACGACGTAAAACGAGCACAGCTGAGCGACTCAGTGACGGGCTGCTCCAGTTCAATGCCCCAAGGCTGCTTCAGCGGCTCACCAAATTGCTTCCGGCACGGCGGATTGCTCCGGAAGACTTTGCCACCTTAATTTGCCGGCATTCATACATGAAAACTGCATATGCTCCTGCGGCGAGACTGTTTCCCCTATCTATCTCCCAATAGTTCAACACCAAGACACCGTACCAGTACTCGCTGCCGTAAACCAGGACGCCAGTGTGCACAGCCTGCTGCAAGCCGCAATGATGTTCCTGTGACTCCTTTGACTGTGACGGACTGCGTGTGGCCGTATCCTGGGCCTCGGCACTCTTCCCAAGGAGTAGCGGCCCAAGTTTGGCTGCCATTCCTTTGCTAGCTGACCGGCTCACAGTCTTAATCGCCTGCCCTTCTGCAAGATACCACCTCTGTTTGTAGCAAGGTGCCCTTGGAGATGTCGTAGAGAAGCAACTCGACCTCAACGATGCGCCATGCGCCGAGCTTGTACAGGCAAACAGGCCGTCGAGCTGCAAACGTTCACGTGGCATAATACTACTCGCCGTGACTGAGATGCTACAGCTGGATCAAAGCTGTACTTGAGCTTGAATCCAAGCGCCACGCAGGCTGCTTCCTGGGTACAGCACATCTTCAAGAGTCATTTGATTTCGATGGCGACAGCTTCCGCGCAGGCCGCTGACAGTCAATACTACAAACGACAGGGAGTGGCATCCCTCCCCTTCCGACCAACTTGCACATGGCTGTGCGTTCCAAGCATCTTCCGCCCAAGCACATATGCCATCACCTCCCAGAGGTCCACCCGTCCATCCAAGTCTACCTCACGAGCAAGTCTCATGGATCCAAGCACGCGCTTGAACAAGCTAGATAATATGTGTGTACCTGCGAATATGCCTCTATTTATATACACATGCACATCTATGTGTGCATACAATATATGTGCACATGTTTGTATTCGTACACATGGTGTGTACGTATGACATGCAGACATACACATGTATGTATGTATGTATGTATGTATGTATGTAT